TTATGCTTACCTTCTTTGCACAAACACGGAGTATCAACAATAGCAAAACAGTAGTGGTGTGAAACGAACAGTGGATTGTTAGCGGGATTCTTCTTAGGTTTCTCTGAAGAAATATTCCAACAAAATGACTACATTTGTTCATCCATCTTTTAGGTGCAATTTGGCGAGTCAAAACCAATGCGGATAGCGCCTTGGATCTTGCAGTACAGGTTGTTTCGAGCGTAATAGAATGGCTATGGCATCACAAGGTTTTGTTGGTTGTATGGTAGGTCCCTGAAGATTAAATGAGTCACTGAACAGCTGACGACCTTCCGTTGTTCATTGATGCATTTGGTTGCTTTGGGTTCTTAGGCCACACCTGGTAGAAGACCCGGGCGATGTCGTAGGAGTGAACTGCTAATACGGGACCATCTGTGGCTGGGCAAGGGATGGACATCCACTGTAGGTAGCTGTACGGATTGTCCAGTTATAGTTTGGATGGCCATATAGTAAATTTTTAATGAATTCCACTCCAGGTCACCAGAAAGAGACTAGACGGCATCGTGATGTCATAGTACCTCCATGGTCCATTGGGCTACACCATGAGATTTCATGTTGACGCAACGCTTTTCATGTTAGATGGGTCAGTGGATGAGGGCCCGAAGAATGCAGTATCATGGTCCTCCAGGTTAGGAGTTGGATCATGCATGGTGACTTAAAAACTTGTACGCCTATAGTGGTCTGCTGGCATTATTGTACTGCTTTTCGGTCAGGCTTTTGAGTCAAAAGCTTTGGTTGCGTGATCTAATCGCCATCCCCTATAGGTCCGAGCTTCCGACAGCAGCCCAACTCATGCAAACTGCAAAACTAAAATTACTGTGACGCCACATCAGCCGTCACGTGCCACCATCAATCGGGTCACCTTACTTGCTTCACAGAGCTAGGGTAGTAAACGAAAACATGTCACTACTGACGTTTCCCTTCTTATTCATGCGTTTCTTCTCCCACCCACATTTCAATAGGTTTCCGCAGCACTAGGACCGACAGTTTTATTCGTTCCGCATCAGTCTTGAAGCCCGTCTTCAGTAACAGCCTCAGACACAGAAACAAAACTCAGCACCTCATCATCATCCTTCCAGTTCTAGTTGCACAACTCTGGCGATACAGAAGCCCCGGTAGACTGGGCACGGACTTGTTTAGCCAATGAGCGGAAGCATCGCTAATGCGTACCCGTTGATGGTCATTTCCGCGGGCTTCGACTAACAATGTCTGGAATAACAACCTCAAGGAAGAGGGCCATCGCTCTGTTTAACGTAACTATTCATGTCCCAATTTAAAGTAGCTCTGGATCATCCGATAACGGTTACCATGACGCTCCAGGTGATCTTTCACAAATGACAGCTGGTGCCATGGGCGGACGGGCCCAAAAGCTTACCACAGCCGCAGTTCGGTCGGGTGGTTGCTTTGACTGAACATGAGATGCATGGACAAAAAGGTGCGTCTGTTGCAGACGTGTGCTCACCACAGACAGTGTCCTTGCAGTTATTGACGTCGGAGGTTGATCGCTCACAGTCTACTCTGCAATATCTATTTGGGATCTGATGACGTGGCTACACTTTCCAAGTCCACATAAAATACAAAAATTTTCGTTCCGCCATTTAGAAGCTCAGTTATCAAAAACTCAAATAGACCTATTAGGGGCGATTTCTCTAACGCGTGGCTGCTTGTTACAATTCCGAGGGAGAGTATTCAAGATTGCGTTGGATTGCACAACTTCTAAATGTGGTACAAACCAACTAGTCTGTTTCCAGTACTGGATGGCTGATAATACTAGGGTTTGGTGGAGGCCAAGAGACAGAATCCTAACCGACACATCATTTAGCGCCATTTAAAACTGAGTAGCATCACGAGTAGCCCAGATGACCCAGAGCATCGAAGAAAAGGAATGAGAGAAATGCTAGAAATTTCTGCAGTTCGTTCCACTCGGTTCTTGAGACAGCCATCCGAAAGCCTCTTGTCAGTGGAAACACCAAGAACCACAGTGGCTCTCTGATATCCGTCAAAGAAGTACGTTTGGAACGTTGAGTGGACTACTTCGCATAACACTTCAGTTGGTTACCTGCTTCATCCCACTCGGGCTACCACCCTATAGCAGCAACATGAACTGTGAATATGGAACTCACTTGAGCATCAGAAGTATGAGTACACGTCCTTACTCAAGCGACAACTTCTCATCTGTAGGATCGGCTGTAAGATCTTCCGTCAATGTCTGTATAACTCATTTGGGTCTATCTGAGAGGAAGGCCACCACAGGTAACTGGAAACGGTCGATAATAGTGCCCATTTTCAAGTAGAGTAGACGAGGTGAATATGGTAACCACATAAATGTAAGGCTGACACCCATTGTAACAAGGCTTCTAGCGTCCCTGATTCTTCTTCACCTTAAGGTGGCACGCGAAACTTCCAACGCGGCTCGCTCAACAGCTGAATCCACACAAGTTCGAGAATACATTTAAATTCCTATATTCTCATCGTTGAAGGCGCGCAGAAGTGCAGTAGGACTTTCCTAAAGCTTCCAGTTAAATAGTCATGGTCGGCAAGCGGGCCCCTTCTGGTCAATCCGGTATCAATAAACTAATGGGTCAAGCCATACAGGATTATCAAACACACCGGTGGTCAAGTCGTTGCTGGTTAAAAACTTGAAAAAAAAACTGGGGTAAGCAAACGACATCTGTCAATCTTTGACGATAACCAGAAGACACAAGCACCATATAGTGAACTAAACAAAATCAAGTCGTATATTGCTATGTGCCTTGGACCAACAAACTGCTCAATTATGATTCAGAACGTGCGGTCGCCGAACACGTCCACTTGACGCTTTGAAGAGTTCCACATAACTCCGGGAAACTCGTTCTCAACTTAAACATGACGCGGTCTTTATGCAGCACACATTGTTGAAGAGAGATTCAGCTGGGTTTCAGGTGAGCCTCCCGTGAAAACCAAATCGATATGTACTTGTTATTCTGGCTGGCTGCAGGGCACGAAATCGATAATCCCAGCGCTCAGCGTCCGGAACGTGGGCACTATACACAGTGAAGGCCTTCACCATCTCGTGTATCAGTTCATATCTGATATCAAAAATAAAATCGATTGGTCCAGAGTAACGTTACTTACCAGTTCACCTGCAGCTGCACTAAAATCCATTAGGCAGAACAGGACGGTGATTGGCTCAACCGGCTTCTCAACACATTCCATAGCGGTTAGCTCATTCTGTTCGGTTTGCAAGTGCTCACCTTGTGCAAAATGTGACGTTCATCATCGTTTCATAAAAGCCTGCTTTCTTGCATGAAACTGGCAACCCAGTAGAATACAAACAGCTCTGAACAGCTGTCTTTGCTTCGCTTTGATGAATAGGGGAAGAAGGGTGTTCCGAGATACACCTAAAAAACAGAGCAGTAGTGTTGGCAAAGAAAATGGCGAGCGATAGCCATCAGTGAACTGAACGATTTAGCCGTACTAGATACCAACCGAAGCTTGGACTCGTATACTTGGGCAGCGCCCGTGGTCGTTATGTATCTTCAGCAGTCATGAGTGCTGGCAAGAAAACGCTTCCGTTCATACATTCAGCCGTATGTACGAGCAGCTCGTTTCGCAGTGTATCAATGGAAAACTGTTACAAACCAATGCGATAGAAGCTCAGCGGGATATAATGGCATGCGAAATGTACAAAGGGGTGATTTGGTCCTTCTGAGAGGCAGACGTGTTGTACTGATTCATCGAAAGTACGCTCAAAAGATGACTTGGGTGTGCAGACGAACTAGAGGTAAGCTCCTGAATGACAACGGTCGCAGATGGCTTGGTATCGGTATCAGAAACCTATTACAGTACGACTCTTGCATTCATCCGGAGACGACCGCCTCAACCTGTGGGAGCCTTGTATGGTTCGACATTCAAAGTCCTGTCCGTCTCTTTCTCATCTGCATTGTGCTTCCACCATTTTTTGCATGTCGTTATAGCATACTGGATTGTAACATGTTATGTTCTGTTGTATATTATTGGCCTTTCGTGTACGGGGATGCAAATGACCAACTTGTTCCGGAGTACTTGGTTCACAGCATTCCTAGAGGTGACATTGTGAATATAGGTGCACAAATCAAGTTACTTGCTGACCGTCACTAGCCAGGTGCATGTCACGGGTAGGCCCTAGAATCGGTAAAGACCAATTTCTGCGCACACTGGGGGTTTGAAGTGTTCGGGCTTTTTCTACATGAGTTGACTATTAGAGTCCATCAGTTCGGCATATTGATGGACCGCACCAGTCTCACACAAACTCATCGTTATCTCTTTCACACTCCATTGCTAATTCACATGTTGTCCATCTAGCAGTTTGCGCCATTCTTAAACAGGCATAGTGAACACTTGTTTCGGTTGACAATGATTCGGCATGTGCAACATACGGTCGGGTCACTGCAGCTGGGGACGCTTGATGCCTTACGCCACCGAAACACCTGTCGCGCAATCAGACATCCACTTCCTAATTAACTCGTTGGTATCATCCGATACGAGCAACGAAACTGTAATGTCAGTGTTCCGAACCTAAATACGCCTCAGAACGTACGCCGGCAGAGGTCGAGTCTTGCAACACTAGAACACAACACCCGGTGATACATCTTTTTGACGCAACAAGTGACGTATGTAACCAAGCGAACATGATTCGGGCCTTTAGAATTACTGCGCTAACTTCCTCACATTTTTGCAAAGCCGAGCAGAATTACGGTGTTATTTGAAACTCTCCAGAATGTGCAATGTCTTTTTGTGGGCATGTTCAGCGACTGCACGCCCTGAAGCGTGATTAAACCGTATGTGGCTTCGAGGTGCACGCCGAAAATGTGACATTGAAATCTGCAAACTGAAAGCCTGCTATATCGCAATGTGCAAGGAACGGCGCGTGGCAAAATATGCGCACCCAGTTTTTATAATGAGGGCCCAGAACCACCATCTGAAAAAACACTAACCGCTTAGTCCCATTGTGTGGTTACGCGGAACCGTTGAAATTATGAACAATTTCGAACAGGAAAAAGTGAAACCGGAAGAACAAGAGAAAACTTGATAACACTGTCAGGTAGGGAAAAGGAACCGGGTAGAAAATCAGTCCATTGATGGGAAACATACGAGTTACGCTCGGACACAGCCAGGCATATTATTTAGTCTGACAGTGAAGCGCGAAAGACAATTGGGCGTTTCATTTAGTGCAGAGTAGAGCGTGAACCATTCGAAATGCCCGATAAATCCGCATTTTTTGCAGGGGACTTTGGTGCGCTAATTGGCTGGGATGGATGGTCGAGTGAATCAGATCGATTGGGTTGCTTTTTGGACCACCGGCTAGTTACGGTGTGTGGCGACATGATTTTGACGTTGAACTGTCTCAAAGTGAGATCCAGTTTGTCGACGTCTCCGGAAAAATAGGCACTCATTGCATTGTTTAGCAGCGACAGATTGTGTTGCATCACGCGTACCTGTGAAAGTACAATCAAACATAGAGGATGATCAGTTGAGACTCGACAAATTGGAAAGGATACGAGCCCAAGTTTGTCTGCAATTGAACAAAGCAAACGTGTCGCACAGTAACGCTTAAAACAGTGAATATGTTGAAAAGTAAAGCCCTTGGTCTATTGAGCCGACTTCATCTCACTTGTAACCGACTCCATGGGCGATGTATACTAAAGACAGCATCTCGGCAGTCAGTTGTTTTGTTGACAGGTCCCAGATAACAAACGTATCTGAGTTCTCAAATGCGACTCATGTGATAAGCAATTACCTGAGAATTTTTGAGTTGCATCAGAAACGGTAGAGTTGTAGCATGGTTCGCTACACGAAGAGTAAGGTGTCGAATACCATGTATGCCAGACAACTATTAAAAGGGTGCTGCAGTTTTTAACTCTCTTTCGAAAATATATGACGCACTTCAGCCACAAAATTACTGATAAACGTCACGAAACAAATGAAGCTGACCAACCTGCGTTATGTAAGGCGTCCGAGGAAATAGCAAGAGCGGTCCTACTCTATGGTTGAGAATCGTACCTCCCGCGGTCCGACGTCAAATAGTTGGTCAGTGGTCTCTCTGGAGACTAGGAGTTAGTTTGCTGTGGCGTGCACACTACGAAATGGCGCCCAAGCGGGTACTTGGTTAGGAACCAGAGTCACCAGGTTGACAAATAAAACGTTGGGAGCTTGGGGTCCGAAGCGCTTTTCCCCATTCCAAACCATTGTTCTCGACGGGTCACCACATGAGTTGAAAGTTGTTAACAGTTCAGCTGAGTACTGTGGGATCATCGCGCCTTCCTAGCTAGGGTTCCTACAAACCGGATTGCGGAGGGCTAGAAAACATGGCGTACATGCTACCATATCCTAGCCGGAGCGTCAGTGTGCGCCTGTCCTTGCGTGCCTGGCTTGTGTTGGCTGGATTTCGCAGAAGATGAAGAGTTGATCCTGTTAATGATGCTTTACCCCGACATAATGCTCAAATGCATTTATTTTCCCAAGGAAATGTTTTTTTACTTTTCTTGCTTTTGTAAAGCGATCAGGTGCCAACACGTATTATTGATGTTTTGCTTCCAGATATGACGACGCGAGTCTCACGATGCAGAAAGCTGCGTTTGTATGATAGAAAAGTTGCATTGTAGAATAAAAACTGCAAGGCCCAGAAGAGTTAGGGCCGCGTAACGGGAACTAATGGTAATTTGGTCGGCATGTGGCTTTCGGATAACACCACGGGAATGTTGCTAAAGCAACAGGGGCTAATAAAAAAGCCGCATTGTAACCAAACAAGGAGCTAGTAGTCACTAATTTCCAAGGGTGAATAAAGGAAAGGTGGAGATATACGCTCAAATGTAAGTTAAATTGGTGTTGGAAGACTCAAGTCTCAAATGAATCTCTCGCTTATAATATTGCTCAACTGAATAAGTAGTGCAAAGGCCACCTCGTGTTTCGGTTGGAACGAGATTCAGGGAATCAAAGAATTTTTATTGACATAACATCGTACATAAAGTTGTTTGAAACTCTTCTACTTGTTTCGTCTTCCATGGGGTAGACGTAGTCCCTGAGTTCCCATCAATCAATTTTTGCCGCTGGAACACCGAACTCTACGTAAACAGAATTATTCGCTCATCCCATAATTCATGTTAGCGTTAATGGGAAACTCAAGTGAATATCAGTTAAATCCTCCGTACATAATTTTATTATTGTTGGGCTGTTGAAAGGCTTCCAGAAATGTTGCACGTAGTGTTGAGCCAACAAAGCAGCGCATGCTTGAATAGCTAAACCAAGTCGTTGAGTAGGGGCTCACTGTTGACTTGGCAATTCAGAAAGCTGCAAGCTTGACTAGACCTTCAGAAACTCAGCCATTTGGTTCCCTAAGGCAATCACACTAGTTTTTTCGAAGCAAGATGCAATCCACCCATGTCACATGATAAATGACAACAGCACACAACACATGAGTGAGCAGGTCATGGTGACAGGTGTTTCCACAACTAAAGTAATTATGCTTTCGGGATTTTTTAACAACACCCGTGTCAAGACAATGCGTAACATATTGACTGAATATAGTGGAACCGCTTTCTTGAAAAAAAGCACCCGGATAATTACCTAATGTGACCTCGTACTGTGACATCTCAGTTTGGGGGAATAGCCCCATCTGCAAAGGAGCTCGCAGACAACTTAGGGCTGAACGCTGTTCACCGTTGGTATTTTCTTTTGATGCAGAGTGCACATAATCTATAATCCATAAACTCACTAAACCTTCACTTGTCTCCTGTGCGGCAGTCAAGGTTATAGCTTTGCGCCGAAAATGAGGAAATCCCAAGTAATGTTAATCTTACTTGTCCGTGTTTGGTTGGTTACCTCAGAACCGTTATTCGGTGAGAACACTAAAACACAATCTAAAGAGTTCAGAAGAACAGTGCCTGGCTTTGAGCTTTGATGCGTTCAGCGGCACAGTACAGATGATCCCATAAAATTCGTTTCTAATGACACACTTGACCTCTTATTTACGAATGGGCGCTCCAAGACATGATAAAAAACCTGACGGCAATTGTGACAGTAGGCTGAATTTGTCCCTGACTTTTTGGTGATCATCTACAAGCGGCCGAGTACATGTGAACTTGATTGTCCAGCGAAAAAAAAAATGTGAACTTGATTGTCCAGCGAAAAAAAAACTAGACGAACAAAAAGCTCCCAAAGCCCTATAGGTAGGGGGGGAGACAGTTGCTTCCATGCGTTTCGCAGCAGAGGGACCGGCCGTCAGTGGCATGACAACAAGAGGTTCACACCGTAAAGTATGTGCAAACTCGGTGGCCTTGGCATGGGTCCAATACCTGGATTAGTAATGGTAAACGGTCTGGTGTTCTACGATTTGAACGCAAGTGCATGCAGCGCTGATGATCCCCCACAAAGCCAATATAGGCACCTCTGCTAAAGGGTTGGTAAGATTACTTGAGATAAAAAACAACAGCGATACGGGAAGGAATGCTCCCGATCGAAAACAAAACTATCGGACTGCTCTGAGAAGGGTGACTAGTTTGTACAACGTCTGAAAAACTTGGACTCACGCGGTTTTCATGCAGCAAACGGATTTTTACGTCAACTGCTGCCTTCATATCTAAAAAATTTTCTTCCGAGATTTGGAATCGAGTTACGGCTTCATCCAAGCGTCGCTGAATGACAGCATCACTTTGGTTCGATTTCTTCGACGTTACTCGTATGGACTCTGCTTCCTTACGGTAGGCATCGAACTCAACACGTGCAACGTTCATGTTGCGAATAGTTAGCATGGTATCTTCAAAAGTTTGATTGACCAAGGTATTTAAACCGCCGCAGAAAGCTTCGAATACGCCTGAAAATGATGCAACCACAAACCGGAAAAAATTCGTTGAGACCGTTTGAGAGGGATAAATAATTTCCTTACCCCATCCAATAACTACAGCATCTCCTTTTCAAGCTAGGCAACATCACGACCGATCAAATGCATACGTTTTGGGAACATATTTATACTAGGGTGTGGGAGATAAATAGATCCCTCTGGTCTACTTGTCGTATGGTCTGCATAAAATACACAGACCAGATAAACTAATGTTGATGGCATCCAAGAAATTTCAACAAACGGGGGAAAACATAGAACTGGCCGATAAGCGACTGCTTGAGAAGTCTGGTAGACAATAAATCCAACAAGTTACTAGCCAAATTTTTCTGAGGTTATCCACGGTTGTTGGTAGTTGCGGGCTTCGTAGAGCTCACATTCACATCACTCTCGTTTGAACAGTCGCCCCGCTACTCTAGCGCAATTATTCTAGTAAGTCCACATCAGAGCGGGGTGGGGTGGGGGTGGAGAAAGCACTGGACTCCAGTCTCGCCCTTATTGGAGCTCATCAGTAGTACACATCCTTGGCCATATAGGGATTTGAAATCCGAATGTCTGACGTGCGAGGCAAGCATGATAGGCGAGCGTGATATAACTAGTCCAATGCGCGCCATACATCTGGATTGTCACTTCTGAACAGGTGAACGTGTTCACGTGATTCGATTGCTGTTACATATGTCACCATCGGGCAACGACTTCTGTGAGCCATAGCCAACATTTTGTGACATCCATCCGCAAACTAGGGTATGTTTTTCGAATGTTTGTTCGCGTCGGGACATCATATTTTCTTCGTATCCTCGTCAGCACTGACTGTTCCACAGTGATCACTTTTGCTCACTCCTGATTTATTTCGTTGCATCTTGTCAGACGCGTACTGTAGTAAATAAACTTCAAGAGGAAAATTACAATGTTCTGCAGTGCCATAAGGCAACAGAAGACGTGGAACAAAGCGGAGACATTCCGAGAAAACAAATTTTTAAGCTACTGCTCCAAGATGCAAAATGAAAGTTTCAATAAACCGGGTGGGGACAACGGGTGGCGTAGGTTGTAACGTATTAAAAAAAATACCCCCAAAGTCAGGAGGACATAGGGCCCAGTGCACACAACAACGAGAATTATATCGTTCGTTGTAGCATTTAAACGCCCAAATAGAGAATCCATCGTCCTGAAACCTATCGAGTTATAGTCAAATGCACAAGTGATGCAAACCAATTAAACTGGATCAAAACTACGACAATATATTAGTTGCCAAGTCCAGTCAAAGCTAAGACTTTCTTAAGTATAATGAATTGTTATAGTAGCCAAAGAATATGAGAAGCGTGGGCTGACCATAAACTTATGTTAAAAAGAATTGGCCTCATTTGGAATGCGTTAGTTGATAGTGGATACTAGACAGGCTGATGAATTCACGCAATCAATCAGTAGTACCTGCCCAACAGTTTGCGATGAACTGCTGCGTGATACTTCTTAGATCGTAGTGGGTACAAGGGAATTCGGCTACGAGAAAGACGCAATAAAAAACAGACAGCTTACATAGAAGCTTTTCGCCATTGGTTGTGGCAGCCTTCTGAAGCTCCGCGTTACACGCGAATTCACCCGTCAGTTCTGGCTGCTGTTGTCCCACATGAGCTAAGTGGCCGGCAAATTCCCGTTGTATTTGAACAGTCTTGGCAATACTCAGAGAAAACCGTCGGGCATCGTCAAGCAAAGTCCGATACTGCCTCTGCATTTGTCTAGAACGGTCAAATAGAAAGGGAGTAATTGGAGTAACGTGGAAAACCTGAATGTGAAAAAAATGCAGTCTCATATCAGTATCCATATGAACAAAAAATTGTGTGGGTAGAGTGCCTCCCAAGGCAGACGTATCATATTCAGTCCTTCACTATCCTAGCATAACTGAGGAGCGGCAATCGTTATTTTGCAATTCCATCCATCCACCTTATAAGGCCACACCTAGTGGAGACAGCGCAGCCCCCGAACAATATTTTGCAGGTGTCAATTCCGCAGACCACTTACCAAAATGTATTAGCACCAGAATAACGGGAAACTTCGCCACTGCTAAGTGAACGTTAATTGAAATAAACCGATAGTAACGTCCGGAGTAGCAAATCAATAGGCCGTTTGAGGGGGAAATTTGGTCTCATTCAGAATATCCCAAAAACAACTTCCTAACATTCAGAACTGTTGAGACCCTCAGCTGGCAGTACCTGTTAATCGCGTTCTTGAACTTATAGTGGCAGTACCTGTTAATCAAGTTCTTGAACTTATAGTGGGCAACTCGGTCCATTTTGATATACTTACCAGAAGAATAACATTATGAGTACAGCACATCACGGCTTGTCAGCTATAAACCATTCCAGTTGCCGTTTGGTTCAGTAAGCAACAGAAAACCACATTAGAGTTGATGGCATAGGTTAGCACTGTCAAACTGCTCTATTTTTTTATGAAGTGGGGATCGGGGCACGCGCGTTTTAAGCATCTAGCTTTAACGCACTTGTTAGTTATCAGTGTCACTATCCATCGGTAAGCCTTGATGCGGTTTCCCCGTTTGGGGAGCTAAGAGTTGCCAAAAAGACTGCACGTATTGGTTACGGTTTTCGTACTTAAAGGCCAGGTCGTAAACTGGCCAGCCTAAACGCGCTCTCATCATTGACACGAACGGTCAGATAAACAGTTCCATGACTTGATAGGTATATGCGGTCAACTTATAAACATCGTGAACTCATATCAACAATCAACTTGAGGCAAAGGAAAAATAATTTCGCCCATTTTTTCTAATTGTTTTGGTTCTGAGACAACGGTTATCGAACACCTGCAGATGTGTCAGTTCCGCTGCTCGAACAAGCCAAGTCTGACAGCCATACAACAAAACAGCCCGCACTGTAGCTTGATACACACATCCTTTGAGATTCAGAGATACACCACTCTGACGCCATAAGTGTCTCCAATTAGCAAATGCGACCCGAGCCTTACAGATTCGTGTATTTACCTGATCTGTCACGCTACAATCAGAGCTAATACAACTTCCAAGATACTGAAAACTCCACAACTTCCAGTGCCCCTCCCTGGATTGTAAGTGGTGTGTTCAGTGACTGCATGTGTAGGAGCATGACCTTACACCTTGTGGGTGCAATGTGCATACTAAAGGATGGAGTGACTTTGATCAGGTCATCTAAAAACACCTGTGCCTTATCCTCTTCAAAGATGAGAACATCGTCGTTGCATATTACAAGGTTTTCGTCAAAGGCTATTTGAAGACTGAGGTTTTGAAGACCTTCCAGCGTTCGTCTCATTATTTCATCAATCACGAGGTTAAATGAAGGTGGAGTGCGGTACCCTGACGGACGCCACTCTGTGTACGGAGGATTTCGGAGAGCCCTGCGCATACTCTCACAAGTCCCGAAGTTTGAAAATACAAAAAACTAATTATGATCACAAAATTTCGGGGAAGTCCTTGATCGGCAAGCTTGTCAAGACCGGTAAACCGAGCTGAATGTGCCTTGGAATTTCAGGAATACTAACACTGCGGGTCATTTGTACGCGCATCGTTGTTTTAGCACGTGGCAGAGTGTGAAAACATGGTCAACGCAACCCCAAACAGACCGGAATTCCACTTGCTGCTATCGGGCCACCATAAGGCGACCACAAGTGACACCAACAGTCTCGTTACAACCGCGGTCAAGCTGATCCCCCTGTGATTACCACGCTTACTACGAGCCCTTTTTTCTGAAAAGGAGCACTATCATCAACTCTTCCCAGTTGTCTGGGACAACAAAGCAGGCAAACAGATCAGACAAGTGCTGACTGAGGACTTCACTCTTACCTCTGAACAATGCGAGTGGGAGGGCATCTGGATGAGGAGCTCGGTGGTGCTTGAGAACACAAATGCAGTCGTAAACTTCTGAGGCCGGGGGTTCAGGGGTCTACAGTTCTAATTTAGTTGTAGGATCCAAATGAGCAGCAGCAGGTTGCTATCAGAACCATCGTTCGAAATGCTCTTCCAAACGGTCAAGGCGTTCTTATTCATTCGAGATGGTCACACTACCCTGACCCTTCATGGTTTCGCTCACAGGAGGCTTCCGGGGACGGCCAGGCGGATCGATCTAAATAATCTTCTAGCATTACCGGCTCTATGGACCACCTCCAGTTCGTTTGTTTTCCGTGTCTACCAGACTTCACAGTCGACGTGCACGCTCACTGTCAATTGACGTGATCAATTTGAGTTCACAGCGGGCATGCTATTAGATGACACCATACGCCAGACGACTTCAGCTATTTCGGAGGTTAGTACTGCGTAAAAACAGCCTTCAGTCAGCACACGGCTGAAGCAATCGTTTACTAATGTCCGTACATACCGTATCCATGTCGACCACCAAACTGAGTCTCAAATGCGCTAAGTCTGTCCACTTGTGCTTCCATATATCCGGAAACCACAACGATATGAGCTTCTAGCTCACCGCAAAAGGACTACCAAGTCGTCATAATGCTTGTATTCGATGGTGCCCGAGCTACAATCAGTTGGGGCGTGAGCAGAAAAAACAAGCAGACATCGATCAACTTCCTCCAGACGCTGCCAGACGAACCGCACACAACTGACTATCAACGAGTATCCAGTCAAGCAAGGGTACTTCCGCCTGGTGAATTAGGGACGATGCCAGCCCCTGCACATTCTGCGGCAGCAGCCCCTGGATCGCCAGAGGTGCACAACCAGGAGCGAGTAGAGTGATAGGGCAGTTAACTCAATCAATGTGCTTGCATTCTAAATTCCTGTTTCTGATACACAGAATACATCAGTGCCAAGCGAGTCTAGTGTGAGAAAAAGACCAGTTTGTTATCCTGCTTGCTTCAGACTGCGGACATTGAAGGCAGCTAGATAGAGTGGGTGTCGAGACTTAATTTCAAGATGCTTGGGGATGTCGGTGCCAGATGATGCACAGATGTTGCTTACAAAACCGATGCAGCACGAACAGAGTCATCAGTCCTAACTGCTGATCTACAAGAAGAGAGTTATTAATGTGGTCGGGAAATGGGAAGAAAGGGAACGGACATCAGTAGCAGCCTGTTTCGCTGTCCGTTCCGTTCAGCTGTTCCCAGAAGGGTAACGCGGCTGACGACACCACGCGAAGGCCGATGTGGCATGGGTTTAGTTGTGTGTGCAATTCATGGTTGTACGTGAGCTGGGATAGTCAGGGTGCCCATACCTAGAGGGGAGGACAATCAAGGTCTCGAACCATAGCCTTCAGCTTAAAAGGCTGTGTTGGGGATATCAATATCCCCCCCATGGGTTTAGGTGTGCAATTCATGGTTGTACGTGAGCTGGGATAGTCAGGGTGCCCATACCTAGAGGGGAGGACAATCAAGGTCTCGAACGAACCATATCAGCTTAAAAGGCTGTGTTGGGGATATCAATATCCCCCCCAAAAACTTTGTATTTTTATGTGTGCTAGCGAACTTCCGGCATCTTCAAGGTCAACTATGAATATATATATATATATATATATATATGCATTGTCATTT